TCTCTCTCTCTCTCTCTCTCTCTCTCTCTCTCTCTCTCTCAGGTTCTTGTACTCAGGTACTTTTAATTTCAAGGCATATAATCATGGTATTCCTCAAGAGTCTATATAGTTATATTAAATGATAACTGTGACATTTTAATGTTTTAATGTATTATAAAATTAAATTCTCAGTGAAGTCTACAAAGAAAAATGATTTAGAAACATGTTATTGTATAAGCATCCATTTTATTCTGTTTTGTACTTTGAATAATCATAATAATGAATAAGCAAGGAAGGTTTAAATCACTGTCACACTTTTTCATTTTTGTATTTCAAGTTCCTAACAGTGCCAGGCACATTGGAGACATTAAAGAAATAATTTGCATAACTCATTTCTACTCATAACCATTCTCCTCAACACTGTCAATTATACATAATAAAATTATAAGTCAAGCCGTGATGACTTAGAGAACATACGAACTTTACCTATTAACAATGTTTTCATTCATATTATTAGAGTTCCCTTTCCCACCAGTTATTGAAAATTAACTCTATTAAGTATTGTGTACTCTAAGCTTATGATTTAACATTGATGTAATTTATGATCAAATTTTAATCTAGTTTGCTTCTTTAGGGTATAGGAAACAGAGAAATATTGTAGTAAACATCTAGACCTAGATTATTAAGTTACCGTTTGTGGAAACAACACAAAGGTCTGCCTGAGTTTCAGTTCCAGGTCTACTGTTGGTTGTCTTTAGTTGTTTTTGCTTTAAAGACATCCATTGGGAGAAGAGGGAGGGAGTGGGGGCAGGGAGGAGGAATGGCTCAAATAATGTATGCACATGTGAATAAATGAATAAAAAAATTTTAAAACAGACATCCATTAACTTTTCTGAAACAGTTTCCTCATCTGTTAAATGAATTTATTACCTTAAATTTACAGGATGGTTTTAAAATTTATTCATTTATTCATTTAAGTAATTTTATGCATCTCATAATTGTGCTTTATCCATGAGTCCTAAGAGCAAAGAAAATCCCTTTCCTTATGAAGTTTATTATGCTAGAGAGATTACAGCATATATCAAACCAGTAGCAATACACAGTGAGGTTAGGTGTTAAATATTCTAAACAGTTAAAAGGAACAACTGATTACTTTTAAATGAGACCATCAGGGAAGACTCTGTGGAAGAAATGGCATTTAAGTCAGACGTTAATGGAATGAAAGGCATTCCCAGAGAGGGAGACAGATAAGCAAAGAAATCTAGTTGGCCTGGAGTGATGATGGAATATAGGAGGAGGGAGTGGGTTCTGAAAGAGAGAGGTGATAAATTCACCTAGGGTAGAAGGGGGAGGATATTAGCTGAAAAGGATAAAAAGCTAGCTTTGAGACTAGCTGATAAGGATGAGTAAATAAAACAATGTTTATAGTTGTGAAGTACATCAGGAAAAAGTATATGTAGTGGAGGTTGTCCTTGCTGTAAGGAAAATACTTTTACTCATTTGTGGATGGAATTTTTTTCTCTTATTTTCAAAATGAATGTGGTTGTATTACCATCATCATTGTCATCATCATCATCAAACAAGACGTAAGAAAAAATTTTTTTTTCATATGAATTAATGGAAAGTATATGAATTAATTGAAAGTTGCTTTTTAAATTTAGGATAAGCTCAGGTTTTGTGTAGTAAATATAGGCTGTATTTTTGTGATGTAGTCTGGTATGATTTCTTTTTTAATGTGTGTGATTTATGTATGCAGTGTTGTGCATTCTGTTCTGTCACCTCAGAACCCTTCTTTGTTTGATCTTTGTGTGTGTTGGTGAGGGGGAGGGTAAATATAGTTAAACCCAGCTGTCTATATTTATTTAACTCCCAGCGGGTACTCAGAAGATATCAGTGTTGAGCGTCAGAGAAACACAGCAGTCATAATGCATGTACAAGCACGATTTTTTTTTTTGAGCATTCAAAAAATTAGATGTGTAATTGCTGTGGTTTCTCAAGGGACATAAACTGGTATTTAATAATTTGTCTGAAAATCATATAGTCCAGAATCATAGTTTCATGAAGATGAGAAGTTTTCTGTGTAGATTTTAAAAAACTTGTCTTCCTTACAGATTCCTGGTAACCTTTGATTAATTTGATACAATAACTGTATGCCATATTTTACTGACTTGTTTGACCATTTACAGTAGATACAAGGGTAGATAGAATAGACACTTGTACACTAGTGGTAAGAATATTAATTGTTGCAGTCTCTTTAGAGGATAATTTGGTAATATTGGGAAAAAACTTAAATATAATCACCTTAATTAAGCAGTTTTATTTTTACAAATTTAGCCTACAGGAATACTTGTACATGGCTGCAAAGATGGGGTATTCTTTGCCGTTTTGGTTATAATAACAAAATTTTAGATACTACCCACATGCCCGTCAG